TACAATCGACTAAACTATTTATTAAATGTTATACATTATAATCTAAATATATCGATGCCCCCAAGCAACAACTCGGTAATCGAAAAATGAAAATTTTACAGGAAAAAAGATTTACTGATTTAAACGAATATCTTTTTAACGAATGGGTCTATTGGAGTCACTGATGTATCAAATGAAAGCTAATTTTTTGCGTAATGTAACTGTGCTATTAATATGAATACTCATTTATTCAAAACCTAGTTATTTGTGAAAAATCATAATACCTAAAATGTTATACGTAAAATATTACAGTTATAATGCTTACGGGGTTATTGCAGTAAATTTGTAGAATAAAATATTTCGTAATATTCCATTATGGACTTCTACGGCGTTATTTTTTGTTGAAGGGATGGTGCATAATATGTTTTTACGGAGTTATTGTGGTAATATTTTGTATTGTGGTAAACAGTATTGATAAATAACATGATTACTGCTAGGAAATTTCGAACAAAAGTGTTTTTGTTACCACTCAATACAATTTTTCTCCTTAAGTGTAATTTTAGAAGATATAAACGAAAAATATACAAATTTAGGCGATATTTAATTAACTACAGAATGAAATTTGACCCTCAATTTAACACAAACATTTGTTGATGAATATAATCCAAAAAAAAAAATACTGAGATCAACTATTAATCATATAAAATTAAAATTTATTCATCTTCAGATTCATTTTCGTCCTCAGCTTCTGAACAGGACAAAGATTGGTAGAATGCATGGTAACTCTGAAGAATAACTTCAGTTTTATACAAACTCAAAAGGTCGGTGTGCAAAAGCTTTACTTAAAGGTATCGGTTGTTGGTATGCACGTTGCAAATGCACATTATCCAAGTACACAGTTAAGCCTGTACCCGAGGGGAAGTTGTTATGCTTTCGCCCTTGTCGTCTAGCTGAGGTTGAATGAGTATAATTTATATCAAGTTCTGAATAAGGGTCTTCAAAATTATATTTGAAAAATAACTTATTTGGTTGTGAATCCACAACATTGACCTCCATATCAGTCCAATAAATCACATTTCTAACTTTGTCGCACCGCCAATACTTGTCTTCTACAAGTGGTTTTAATCGTAAATTTCGAATTGTTCTTATTCTTTGACACGGTATTTTTCATCAGTAATCTTTGAATTTAAGAAATACTAAAAATTCGGTAAGGTTATAAAACTTAATTTTTAAATTTATTTCTATGCGTGCATGCATTGAATCTCCCTGGTTTTGACTGTGTTCACTTTCAAAAAAAAAAAACAATTATTAATCGAAATTCCAAATAGTTTGGCAGCCTATATATAAAGGGCAAAAATATACCGATTTTTGTTCTGCCCAAGATCCACCCGAATATAATTAATATTTTATAATACCTTCCTCAGATATAGTTTTAAAAAAAAGAAAACAAAGCACTCCTCATTTCTCAATTGCCGCTCTTAGCATTTTGGTAGTGCCATGCCTAATAATACCCTATTTTTCGAACGGTATTAAAGACAATAAAATTGTAACAGTGATATTTCTCTTGTAGTGGAATATGCCAACTTCTGATTGAGGCACATTCAACACTTTTTGAAAGTCAAATATTGCAACTGACTCACAAGCATTGTCGGCTCTTTTTATCTCTCCTTTTTTTAAGGCTCTTATTTTTTCTTTTCTCTCTAAATGGAGTTTTTGTTTTTCCTCTGGGGTGGCTGTTATAGTATCTTCTGATTGTTCATACATGGAGTATGAAAGGGTCACTGGTCTTTTTTTGGTTTGAAAAATGAGTAATTATATCGAGTGTTAAAAATGGTTTCGTATTGTCGATTTGTTGCCATTACTGCATCTATGTAATTTTGTTGGGTAAACCAATCAGTGTTAATACGATAATATTGAAGTTTTCTGAAAGATATTCTCGGTTTAAAGTTGCCCTAGTATAATGCGACTGTACTTTAGGAAATAATTCAATGTGCTTTAATAGTGGCTTTTGTTATACTTATTTTATTAGACCTATTATTATGTCTCTCCCGCATATCTTGAAGTCCCTCATCTACATGCATAGTTTCTTCTATTGCTGTATAAACCATATGGATTATGGTTTAATCAAGTCGATTATATAATCGACTTGATTCACTGGCCCTGCGTAGAGATATTGCTTCTCTGTGCATCTTCTATGGCATCTATTATGGGGAATGCTCCGAGGAATTGTTCGGACTCATACCTGCTGCTACTTTCCGCCATCGTTCCACGCGACAAGAAATCCACGCCCGTCATTTGGATGGTTGGAAGTCCACAACTGTGCGTTTTTCTAGAAGTTTCCTGCCTCGCACAGTCAAACTCTGGAACAGTTTGTCGCCAACGGTATTTCCGGACCGATACGACCTTAAAACTTTCAAGCATAGAGCATATTCGTCCCTCAAAGGCCGGCAGCGCGCTTGTAGCCCCTCTGGTGTTACAGGTGTCCATGGGCGACGGTAATCACTTACCACCAGATGATCCGTCTGTGCGTCTGCCCCCAACCCCATATTAAAAAAAAATATTCTAAAGATTTCTAAAGTATTAAAAAAATGTTTTAAATATTTTCTTTATTTGTTTAAAAGTAGTCAAAAATTTGCGTGGCCTTGTTTTTACGGTCTAACGTCATTCATTTAATAGTTCGTGCCTTAACATATCTACTAATATACAACCATTGATGTTCGCGATCAGTCAAACTATAGCTTATCTATATGACTGACTAAATTTTTGGCTACAACCTTTTCTATATCAGATTCACTATTTTCTGTGTATATTAATAGAATATGAGCAACCTCGACCATATCCTCATGATTACTTTCTACTGCCTCATTATGCCAGGAATAGTTTAAAGTTCTACGAGCCAGTGTTTTATCAGTGTTACTTTCTGACTGTTCTTCTGGTTTTAATGTTACATATTTTCTTCTTTGCTACTTATCTGTCGTATTAAGTTTGGACTATCCTCATTAATTTCCTAATTTTTAATTTTACTATTGTTTAGAGTTCTATCAGTAAATGATTTATTGTTATTAATTTCTGATGATCCTACTCCTTGTTTGCTTAATATAATTCCTACGTTTGGAATTAAATGATTTTCCTTTTGAATACCTGGTTGAGATAAATCTGAGTTTACTATGTATATTTCTGATAAAGAAGCCACGAAATTTGCGTTGATTTAATACAATGATAGATTTGAAATTATTGATGGAGTGCTAATTTAGAATAAATTTACCATATTGAAATGTAGCGTATAATCATGAAAAAACACTAAATTTAAATAACATTGTAAATATATATTACGGAATACGTATATTTAAATTCGTTCAACAACAACCCCTTATTGACGTTTGCCAAAAACTTCGTAAACATTATTTACGCCAATAACCCGGTAAACGCAACTTACCAAAATAAAATATAAATATTTTTTTTGTACAGACCTAAAGCAGGGTTTATGACGTCATATTTTTTATTTAAAATTCCCAACAATAAAATTGTATATCATTATATCTTCGTAAATATCATTAGGAAAAATCTGAAAAAAATTGCCAAGGTGTATTCCAGTCCATAGATGCCAAATATGCCATAACAGCATAAACCCCATAATAGCACATTACCGAGTTATTGTTTGGGGGGGTCGATATATAACTCAAAGGTGACTGACTGACATACTGATCTATCAACCCACAGCCCAAACCACTGGACGGATCAGGCTGAAATTTGACATGCAGGTAGATGTTCCGACGTAGGCATCCGCTAAGAAAGGATTTTAAGCAATTCTACCCTCAAGGGGTATAATAAGGGGTGAAACTTTGTCAATTTTAAACCGATCGGGCTGAGACTTGGCATGCACAAAGCTACTATGACATAGGCATCCCCTAAGAAAGGGTTTTAATCAATTCCACCCCTAAGTGGATAAAATAGGGGATGAAACTTTATGTCAGGTGTTTTACACGATATAAAGAATAAATATTCGTTAGAAATGCTGCTCAAAGTAACTTTATCACGCGAATGAAATCGCGGGCAATAGCTAGTATTTAATAAACAGTTAAGTCGGTTAACTACTTAAGGACTTGTATCTGCGTCTTCGTTTAAACAACAGATACCTTCGACCTTCTTCGGTTTCAACTCGGTGGCCAATTCCCAGTTTAAATTTTTAATGAACACCTACCTAGCCTATTGATATTGACAATGCCTTTCCGTTTTGCGCAGAATGCTTGACTTCGCGGTTAGCAATATTTTTATATGTCCTTAGTGCGTTCGGCTTACATTGCGGAAATTCAGCAACCTCTGCAATCATAGGATGAGTGACCAAAAATCTTTTATCTCATGCTCTCCGTGCTTCGAACGGCATGCCAAGCCCTTGGTCTCGCCTACATCTGCAATCGTTAACATCAAGAAATATTGCCCGCGTTGTGGGTCATGACCCATTCTCCCTATTCCATTTGATTCTATTCCATCCACAGGAAAGGTCTGTGTCCCAGCATTAATAGGCCGGTGATGATGGTGATGGATTAATTTGTATATAAAAAGTATTGTTGATTAATACAATATACCTACTCGTAAAATACCTACTAAATTTCTTTCGTATTTGTAATTAAATAAAAGTAACGCAAAACATTTTTATAATGACTTTTTGAAAAAATACTCCAAATAAATTATTTTATTTCAAAGCAAACACGCCAGTCCGGCGTCGGACCTCATTGACTAGAATTCTTTGTGCTTTTATCTTTTATTTAAGGAAGAGACCTGCAAACATTTGCACGATTCTACAAATAAATTTTAACAAATTTTTGTTTGTACAGTCAACAGCACACCAGACTATAAAAATCATTCAACTTTCTCGACGCTATTTTAATAATGCATTGAGGATAATGGGTAAAATCCATTGCAGGGACATATTGTCGTAACATGCCTTGCAGCCGTGTGTATAATTATCATCATTAGCCAGTATTTGTCCACTGTTGGACATGGCCCTCTCCATGCGCACGCTATCGAACTCGATCTTCAGCTATTCGCATCCAGTTTCTGCCAGCCACCTTGCGATGATGGTCTTCCCGCCTTCTTAGAGGGTGTCTCACAGTGTGGGATACGCGGTCCGCGGTCCGCGATCCGCGGTCTCTAATCTAGAATGTGTTTACCCCACCGACTGTCGGTTCTACGGCTAATGTAGCCTGCCCATTGCCACTCCAACTTGCTGATTAGGTGGGCTATGTCGATTTCTTTGTTTCTTTGACGCTACCCAGGCTCCCATCCCACACACCGAACGGTGTATGTGGCAGCTGAGCCCCGGCGACCCCGCGGCCGAAGTGCGAAATGAAAACAGAAAACCATTAGCATATGTTTCGTGAAGCTCGCGGAGAATCTTTTACTAACCCTTTCGTTCAAGGGCCTGCCTTCCAGCAGGTACTTGAGTTTGCTCATCTGGCACGGGCTGATGATTCTCTCTAGGGCAGCTATGTCTCTAGGCACGTCCCGCTTTAGACCATCTCGTTTGCCGTTGGTCCAACCCCTGGAGTACTGAAAGGTCTGCGCTGCTACTGAGCTGAGAGCCAGAAATATCAGCAGGAGACTCGCGTGGGGCAGCATGTTGGAACCTGTTTAAAACAAAATATTACCTATTAAATATAAATGTATTCGCGTATAGTCCAAATACGAAAAAAAAGTAATTATTTTTTATTAGGTCGATCTATTAAATAATGTAATATTATGGAGTATCTTAAAGCCTTCTTGTTTAATAAAGCCTTTTAATGTGCGTATTATGCACTTATCTATCACAGCTAGAAGTATCATAACCCGTACTTTGTATGCTAGCTGTATTAAACAAACCTTGTGTGAAATTTTATGGAATTGGCACAGTAAAGAATGTTGTTGAACACAATATCAATGGCACTGTAATTCCTATTTATTTCCCTATTTAATATCTTGCGAAAAATTAATTCAAGATTATTTAAAACAATTTTCAACCAAGACTATTGCTTTGTTTTGAGAATCAGTTTATATCATTATAGTTTAAGAAAAAAAAAATATTTTTCATGACAGGAGTGAAGCTTTGTTATAATTTGTAAACTCTGCTCAAAAGATAAAAACTGAAAAAGAACGAGTTTGCAGGATTTATTGGGGTCCGTATGTTAGCAAAGAATTATTTTACTAGTAATTTCTGATTTTCTGATTTGCGAAACAATATATTATTAATTGAACTTCGTAGAAATCAGTTTGTGTGGGGAAAGAAAAAACATTATTAGCTCATTTCTTCCTTGCAGTTTTTTATTATTTTTTCGTCCAAGTTAATCTCCGTGGGTCTTAAGTGAAAATTTTAAAATAATTAGTCGAATTTATTGCTCCCTTTTCAAGGAAATAACCCTTATAGTATCTTAATCTACCTATTAATTTGCCAATCTAGACGTTGTCAACTAATTACTGATTAGGAGCCCTATTACAATAAATAATTAGTCGAGAAGGTGTCGCCAAGTATTCCGCCGTCCTTATGATAAATGCAATTAATTCAAATTTTTAGGCAAACTGACTTAAGTACATATTATTGTTCAGAAAATGATATATATATCTTCTTATAATTCGTTTTTTTCTATTAACAGTAGTTTTGGAACTTTTCATATCATATTTTCTTTTGATTTAATTAAATCTTTAATTGCCATTAGCTCACAAGTACCTACTCAAACCGAGTTATTGCACTCTATATAAGAACGGCGATATTGTAATCTGTTCTAGTAAATACACCTCACCTTTACTTCCACTCATTTCTAAAACCAAAAAGCTAGAAATATGTTAGCTCAGACTCGATTGATTAGGCTTTTTAGCTCTTAACGAAACAAAAACATAAATAGAGGCATAATTAATATACACAGTAGCATTCCTAATTAAAAAAAAATATATAAAAATATATTCAGTCAAATCTCTCAACATAAAATTAATTAACAGGAAATAGTAGAAGATCCGAACCTAAATCGACCTTCACCGGGTTGATAATGGAATAAAACTTATTGTATAATTAATTTAGTATATTAGAAAATATATTAAAAATGGGTTCGCTAAAAAAATCCTGGACAGAATATTTTTAATTATTTTTAAAAAAATATTTTTTTATTAAATGTTGCAACATCAAGATAATAAGAAAAATTTAATTCTGACTTAAAGTATAAAACATTTAGAATGTGCAGACGTTGGGTTGTCTATTATTTACCTGGACGAACTACTGGGTTGTCAGGTATAAACAGGTATATCGATGCCAGTCAATTTCACTTGATTTGATAATAAAAAAAAAAATTATATCAACATAAGCGCTGTTTCATTACGAACACATTGATATAGGGTTGTCTGCAAAAAAATCGGTCCTAATAGGGGTTTGGGAATTTTAAAAATTAAAATTTTAACGCGTGGGAAAGTGAGTGACAAAGAGATCCGAGGAAAGTATACCGTGTAATAGTAAATGACCCAACATTGCAGTCGCATCTGATCGGACCCTGAATATATGAAAGTGCGCATGCTCGGAATGTAAAATATGGAGAGTGGAGGTACTACTACCCCTCCGTATAGTAAACAGTGCACGTTATTTTGGAGCAACTGACATTTGATTTGCAAAAAAAAAATTAGTAAAATTCATAACAATCTAATATATTCAATATAGTGCAAATACAATATTAAGCAATATAACATTAGCTAAATAAATGTATATTCATATATATTGACTTATGAGTATAATAATAATTTATCTATAAAAGAAAAGTTTTTGTAATTTAAAATATAATGACGTAAATAGTAAAAATATCAATAACTTGCTTTCAAATTTTTTTTGTTCTTTCTGGAAACAAATTAAAGAGAAATAAAGTGGACAGCCGAAAATTCAAATTAAAAAATAACAAAAAAAATTGATTTAAGATTTTGTATTATATTTAAAAATGATATTACAGAACAGCATAAGTAATAAAATAATATTAATGGAAAATAAATTGTAATAAATATTTTCTATTAAATATCTGATTCATCAGAAGTAAATTTCTGATTCTCAAACTTATCAGATTCATTAGATCATATATTCCCACATTTACTTCCATTTCAATAATGTCTTGGATTTTCAAAGGAGTTTGATCTCCGATAAAACCTATTTGTTTTAAAAAACCATCTAAATAATTTTAATTTTAGGTTTAATTTTAATTTTTAAAATTCGCAAACCCGTATTAGGACCGATTTTTTTGCAGACAACCCTATATCAATGTGTTCGTAATGAAACAGCGCTTATGTTGATATAAAATTTTTTTTATTATCAAATCAAGTAAAATTAACTGGCATCGATATACCTGTTTATACCTGACAACCCAGTAGTTCGTCCAGGTAAATAATAGACAACCCAACGTCTGCACATTCTATATGTTAAGTCAGAATTAAATTTTTCTTATTATCTTGATGTTGCAACATTTAATAAAAAAATATTTTTTAAAAAATAATTAAAAATATTCTGTCCAGGATTTTTTAGCGGACCCATTTTTAATATATTTTCTAATATACTAAATTAATTATATAATAAGTTTTATTCCATTATCAACCCGGTGAAGGTCGATTTAGGTTCGGATCTTAGACTAAAAGTTCAGTAATAATTATTTATTTATATTAAAGTGACATACAGATATGAAGTGATAAGGGTTTATGAACTGATAGACGTTATAAAGAAAATTGAACAGGGATGCTCCGGTAGTTTTGACACCTGGACAGAATTGATTAAAGAAGATTGACAAAAGAAAGGAGGTAGTTATTTCTGGGCGCCATATAACGTTTACTTTTATTACTTGGATCAAGTTTTATTAGGTACTTACTGACCCGAAACACATTGTCAAATCAAAGTAGCTCTTTTTACGAAATTCAAAAGTTTTTCTTGTAAATAACTTTTTATCCGACTGCGGTGACATCATGATGTATGTTCATCTATTCCCTAATATATTTTAAACTGCTCAGGTTTTCTGCAGTTAATTAAATATTAACCGCTTGACTTCAATATTTCTTAAAAAAAATTAACCGCTTTAAAATAAGTATTATATTCCACTTTTTTAAATTTGAAGTTGGTTCAATTTTTTTATTTTATTTTAATGTCATCCATGTTTGTGATATTTTAAGTTTTGGGGGTAACAAACATCACTCCTATTGTGGGGAAATGCTGCCGACATAGAAACAATTTTTGTGCTTCAGAAAAGAGCAATTCGATCAATTTATAATCTTAGTATTAGGGACTCTTTAAGGGAGAAATTTAAGGAAATAGACATTATGATTGTTGCTTCTCAATACATATACGAGAACTTAATGTACGTTCGTAAAAATATTAATTTGTTTTCTATAAAAAGTGATGTACACAATTTTAATACAAGAAATAAAAATAAATTAACGGTGCCTGTCACTAGACTGCAAAAAGTTAATAACTCATTCAAGGGTCTTTGTGTGCGCTTCTACTATAAGGTCCCAAGCAAAATACAACAATTAGATATCATGCAGTTTAAATCTACTATTAAAAAAATACTTATTAAAAAAGCTTATTATAAGGTATCCGATTATATAACAGATAAGAACGGATAGGTGATTACTTCTAAACTCATTATCTTGTTTCCATTATTATTAAATGATTATGTTATTATTATAAGACCATAGTTTTTTTTTCTATCTCTGTTTATAATGTATTGATCTGGTGATGACATGGTTTTTGTAAATGTCATTACTCTTATTAGAGCTGGTGAGTTTCTTGCTCGTTCTTCTTATCAGCTAAAAGACGTCCTGTACGAGTGGTAGGGAAAAAATGTTGGACGATTCAAAAGTACTTTTAAGAAGTCTATTTGAATAAAGATTATTTTGACTTTGACTATGACTCATACTTAATGCAAATTTAAGACTTATATTGTTTTCTCATAGATGCCATTGCCAGATTTGGACCTAATAAAACGGGTCCCGTTTTATTGCACTTTTTTTTTGTCGAGAAAGTGCATTAGTCACTGTCCCTGTCGCCTGGCAAGCGAAGGGGTAGCTTTCAAATAAAGAACTGATTTTAAAAATCACTCCACCCAGTAAAAATTTATGAGGTAACAAACAGAAAAAAACTACAGTCGAATTGAGAACCTTCTCCTTTTTTGAAGTCGGTTAAGTTTAGTCTATTTTGTGCAACAGAATTGCTACCAATATTTTTCAGTTCAGTTTAGTTAGAGAGTGGTATAAACGGATACGCATACATAGTCTTTCGGTAAAATAACATGACAGAACGGCTATATAATCTATTTGATTGATTCGTAATTTTTCAATAGTCCGGGTCTAGTCTCCAAAGATAGTTTTTAACATTTTAGCTACGAATATTTTTGTATAAAGAAAAGCACAAAAGCTTAATCAATATCCACATTCTAAAACAGGCTAACCGACGAACTGAATATAATGTTTATTAAATTTTAATTTATGCGGTAGAATGAATCCCTTGTCCAAATTTCAATAATTTCACTTTGTATTTGTTGTATTCGTGATAAGATGATATCCCTATAAGTAGGTAATCTTTAAAAGAAAATGAGACTTACTTCTTGTAGTTTTAGTTTATTTGAATTTTTCGATTTTACTTTATTATTTTTATGAAAAATGTTTAAAAAATCTCTAGCACTCTGAGAGGGGTCTCGAACCCACAACCTTCCGCAATCCGGACATCTTTGTCTTGTTTTTCAGTCTTCTAGTTACACTTTACTTTATCTTTCACAAAAAAATTCACAACATCTAAAAACCTGCGACTTTATCAACATACTTCATTAGCTGTGTTAGTAGTAGTTCATAAACCGTACTAGGGATGTTACGTATCCGTAGATTATATACAGATATGGGATCCGTAGATTATAACTATATTAAGAATAATATTATGTCATTCAATGAATTTAATTATTATGGTAGTACCTTTGTGAAATCAAAAATTTATTATTCATTTATTATTCCAGTTTGGAATCGGATAAAACTGGATATTAATGAATTTGTGTTACCCGTCCTAGTTCAGGATTACAGATTTTTAAGTATTTTCAAAAGTAAAAAATACTGGTGCAAATTATAAAATAATTTGGTTTAATTTCTAAATTATCATTTTATATATGAAGCTTTTCATATAAAAATATAACTGTGTCACGACTCATTTTAATTTCGCACCTTACCGAGATTGTACGAAATATTTTATATGATACGGATAGATTTTTTTTTTGTTATCTAGCAGCTCTGGTTAAGATTACGGAACTCCTTGACATCCCTTACCGTGACTACCTGTTTAAACTGTGGTATGACATTCTTTGTGAATTAGAGCTGTTTTCCGCGTAATTGGTTTTCCTGGTAACATCTTATAGTAACATTTATTCTTTTCTAAAACAGAGCTTTTTATAGAAAAGGAAAATCTCTGTAATAATGTGTTAAGCCCTCAGAGTTGTTTTCCTGTAATGACACAGTATTGTTAACTGTTATTAAAATAAAGGGTGCTGACGGATTAGGTACAGAGTATTACAGCTGATAGAACTTAGATCTTGTAGTACATGTTAGTAAAAATAATTTTGTTCAGTAGGTATATTAAATAAAAAAATATATGAAAAGTTTTGCTTAGTTTCTATTTAAGTTAATTTTTTTAATGGCAATTCATGTCCGGCTCTACATATTGTCAATAAAATCTGTCAAAATTCTCTTATTGGTTTTTAACCTGCACAGTGATCTCTAAGCAGCGTTTTATCAAATAAAGCGTACTTTAAAATTTAGTGAAG